GCCAGGGCCAGGAGGGTCTTCAGGGCGGACATTTTCATCAGTGTGCGGCCCAGGGCGCGTAGCCTCTGTTTTGTCTTAAGGTCTTACAGCTAATCTGCTTGGGTGATTGGATCACTGGGCTGGGGATAACACACTTACTGCAGCCCCCGGCTAAAGCCATCTTAGCTGGGGAGGACGGGACACGGCTCCCCAAGGGCACGGGCCAGTCTGGGGCATGGGAGCGGGGCAGAGCACTGGTCCGGTGATGGTGGAGGTAGCCAGACCTGCCCACACTTGCCGGGCTGGGCTCTGCTCCGTGTCCTGCCCGTGCCTGCTTTGGGAACCCTCTCCCTCTCCAGACCCATTACCTCTTCGGCTTTCAAAGATCTGGTCCAAGCCCATCTGCTCCATCCAGAGAATAACTCCTTTCTTGTTGTTTGTAGCAGACAGGTTGGGGGAAAAACCCTCCTAAGTTTCCAACCCACCAAAAGAGAAGTGCAAGAGAAGGACTGAAAACCCGTATAGGGCTGGGAGCCCCACGGAGCTGTCCCTGTGCTCCCCTTCTCCCCAGCTGGGCAGGGCGGGCTCCATCCTTACAGAGGGATTTACCCAAGGCCACGAAAGGTGATCAGGGGATTAAGCCAAGTCCCACAGCCCAACGTCTCCCCACTGCCCTCCACAATTCCTCCTGGCTGAGCTCACTGCTTTGGCAAAATCTGCCAGAAGCCTCATTGCAGCGTGGTAGGAGTCAAGGGGGCATAGTCTCCCCACTGCCCTCCACAGTTCCTCCTGGCTGAGCTCACTGGTTCGGCAAAATCTGCCAGAAGCATCATTGCAGCGTGGTAGGAGTCAAGGGGGCATCCGTCATCTCAGGTCTGCATTTCAGAGGAGCAGAGGATAGCCATGCTTATTTGAAACCAACTGCATCGTAAACTGCATTAATTAAAGTGAGGCAGAATATGGCCCATCCTGGAAGGTAAAGCCAACTTCTCCAAAAACCCTTCACCAACCTTACAAACACCAAGAAAGCTTTCAAGAGTGATAAACACAATTTTTATTCAGGCAATGAAACATGGAAAAAAATATATTAGTAATCATTATAATAATCTCATTTGTGTGAGTATAACTCTTACAAATATTTACCTGACATATAAAAGGGAAATTATTGTACATATAAAATTGATGGCGCTGGCAGTTACGTACATGGTACAAAGCGATGGGGGTAGTAGTCAATGCAGAGAAAGTTCCTGCCTCTGGGGGGGCACGCTGGAGGGACGGGGGGAAGCGATTTGCAGTCAGGGTGGTTACTCGTTGGCACTTCATTGGGGACAGAGACCTGCTGGCAAACGCACACGGGCAAACAGCAACACTAGTGGCTTAGGGCAGGCACCTGCCGCTGTCAGAGGGGAATTTAAATTCTACGGCAAGAAAAAGATGATGTCAAACACAACCAGGCTCCCTGCGCGGGTTACACATCTCGGCCGGGATGGCGGGGCGGCCTCTGAAGGCCATTGTCTTCGCAAGAGGGAGCCTCCGTGCTCCCCTCCTGTCGCTGGCTCCTGCAGCCTCGCCGAGCGGAAGCTCCCAGGAAAGGTGCTGCCGGCTCCGCGTGCCGGAGAGCAGCACGCCAGATGCAACAGCCCTGCCCGTTTACAGTTACAAACACACGCCTTTTATTATATATAACTATAACCATTATATATATATTTATATATGTAACTATAACCATATTATAGTTAATAAATCATTCCTTAGGAATCTTCTTCGCCCGGACAGGAGGTGCATGCTGACAGGCACGGGAACGCAGCAGCACTGGGGTGGGAGGCAGCGAGAGCGGGGACCGGGAGATGACGGGGAGGACTCTGCCAGAGCGGGTTATTGCCACGG